GAAGGGCAGCAACCATACTCAAGACTATCGTATGACCATTAACTATCACTGAACATTTCTGCTCTATAGGCAGTTGGGGGAAGAAACGAACACCTTTCTTTGCACGTGCAGTTCAAGAAAAAGCTTTCTGGGTAAATAACTAACATTTATAGCAGGACTAGAGTCGACCTGATTTCAGCTCAGGGTCATGATCTCAGTTCGTGCGTTCGAGCCCCGCATCAGGCTCTATGCTTATAGCACAGAGGCTGCTTCGGATCCTCTGTCTCCCTCTCTCTGCCCCTCCCCCCTCCCTCTTTCTCAAAAATAGATAAATGTTAAAAAAAACACCTGAAATCCAATCATCTTCAAACAAAAGACTGAGCAGTAATATGGCAGGATCGGTGTTCCTGGGACAAACAACTGACTTTAATTCTTTCTATTTGGTGCCACCCGGAAGAATGAATCATGCCCTTCTTCTGACGACAGTGAAAGCATCACAGGGGAGCCTTGGAAAGGAGCAAGAGCTCAGATTCTGGTGACTTCTTGACTCTCTGTTCATACGAGATCTTACGTGAGTTCCTCGACGGGGAGGTAAGCAGGAGAGGAGAGGAAGTGGAAGGACAGAAACAGTTGTTAACAGAGCGCAATCTTCCGTGTGCTACACGTCTACAACGCGTGCTGCAAAAACTCACGTGTGTGTTACTCTGAGGCTGACAGCACGGGGCTCTCTGGAGTCTGACCGCTCCAGGAGCAAAGCGACCGCCAGACGTTCCCGCTTTTGGCGGGCAAATCTGTCTACGCCGACTGTCATCCAAATGTCAACATTTTGATTCCTTGCACCTTTAATCGCCACAGACCTGACTGCGAGGAGGTCGCCCCTGACCTCGTATTGTGAGGACATGGGAAACAGAGGGTCCGTTTGCGGGATCATCACCCCGGGAAGGAATGTTTGCTTTGTATAGCGCTTTCTCCTGCGACACTGGATCCATTTTCAAAGGTGCAAAGCAGGGTCAAGTGATGGGTTCTGAACCACCGCCCACCAAGCTGGGAACGGGATCGGGCAGTTCACAAAGCAGAAAGGAGCCTTGGATAAGTGAGGGGGAAAACAACGTTCTATGAGAGAGTTCCGCGAGAGATAGCCCTATTATACTCCGGCGAAAAAGAATCTGGACAAAGTCATAGCTTTTAATACCCAAAGAATTATCTTTTGTTATACAGAAATGATCCCCAAATTATAGGTCTGTTCAAATAACTGGTTACGATCTTCTAGGGCGGGCCAAGGTTCATTTACCCTGTGACTGACACACAAAGGGCATCCTTTGGTTTGGGCATAAAGGATGGGGTGAGACAGGGGAGGCAGGTCCCGGGGGGGTCTCAGCATGCGTGCTTACTGGCGGGGCACCTCGACCGTGCTGCTGACTCTCCTGGGCCAGCGCTTCCACAGCTCTGAAACAGAACCGCCCATCTCGCTGCACTGATCCCAGCATGACATGTGCCAGGGGGTGGCAAGGGGTGGGAAGGTGACTCCTGTGCCAGCTTTGGAAGGAGAGGCAGGGCCAAGCAATGGAAAGATGGCTCTGCAGTCCTGGGGTTCGGGACCACGCCTCAGCTACCTCCTCGGGGAGGATCTACCCCCGCGGGACAGCACCTGCCTCCAAGGGGTGCTGTGACCACCCAGGTGAGGTGCTCAGCACGATCCCTGGCTCACTGAGGTAACTTCCACAGGCCGGCGTCCTGACCTCTAACCCTCTCTCAACATTGAAAAAAAACCTGGGGTTGCCTGGGTGGCTCAGTCGGTTAAGCGCCCGACTCTTGGTTTTGGCTCAGGTCATGATGTCACAGTTTGTGAGCTCGAGCCCCGCGTCGGGCTCCATGCTGGCAGTATGGAGCCTGCTTGGGATTCTCTCTCTCCCTCTCTCTCACTGCCCTTCCCCTGTGCTCTCTCTCTGTGTCAAAATAAGTAAGTAAACTTAAAAAAAAGTCCGGAGGAACACTTGTTTAGGGAACACAGACCTAAGGATTTAAGTGTACGTGACGTGTCCCTTGGCATTAGCAGAGTCTTAACCTATAATTAAGGTGTAACTGGGTTTTAATTACCTACTTGAGGAACAAATGAAAACGGACCACGAGGCTGGAAAAATACAACCCGAGAGAGATAAAGGGTGAAAACACACTTGTTCTGGAGAAGAATGATAAATGGCAGAAATGCAGCAGAATGGGTTCTTGACGTGAAAGGGGAGATTAGTCAGCATGGGTTAATTTTCAGTGGAAGAGGAAGGATACTGTCATTTTCCCAAGAACTAGCTGGGAAACCCAAGACATTCTCATACACACACACACACACACACACACACACACACACACACACACACACACTTTATACCCAAAGACCAAAATGACACCATTATCAAGGCTTCTTTGTGAAATTAGTCTCCTTGGTTTATTTTGTGGGGGTTTCTTCTTCCGAATGGACACAGATTTGAAATGTGGTTGTGGTTCAAACTAAACACAGCCCCCATTCCTCAGTGAAAAACATGTATGAACAACACCATACGCCGCACACACCCCAAACCCAACAATTCCGCACGTTGTATTAATGTCATTTCATATTGGCGTGGTCCCTTACCTTTCTCATCATAGTCTCGGCCTTTAGTGTATTAGTAACAAAGACTTACAAAAAAGGAAAACAATCTCCCCATGTTGACGACTGGTAGTGAAACCAACAAAAGTGAGAATTCAGGTCAAGTAAGCTTGTCTAATAGGCCTACAGTCTGGGTGGCTCAGTGGGTTAAGCTTCTGACTCTTCGTCCCAGCTCAGGTCGTGATCTCATGGTTCGTGGGTCTGGGCCCCACGTTGGGTTCTGCACTGACAGCACAGAGCCTGCTTGGGATTCTCTCTCTCTCTGCCCCTACCCTGCTTACTCTCTCTCTCTGTCTTAAAATAAATGAATAAAAATTAAGAAAAAGAAAAAAAGGAAGGGATGCTGGGCTAAGGAACAGGAGCGAGTGTGGAGACGGAACTGGGAGTGTTGGGAAAAGGAATGTGTTCTGAGAATATGGTGGGGTTTGATATACGGGATGAGAAAAGCAGCTTCACAAGCCTTTACGACTGGGACTGAGAGTTTTCCCAGGGGCAGGATTAGGAGGGTGGTCATTTCTCTTCCGGAAGGGAAGCCAGGAAAGAAGCCAGCAGGTGTGACTGCAGTCCTGAGGGGCAGATATGAGTAAGACCAAGGGACCCCCACTGTGGGCTGCCTATGGGGGCTCCAAGTCAAGACCAGCCCTGTTAAACTGTGTGGACCATGAACTAGCGAGGTCTCCTTTCTGCTGCCCTGTCCTTCCTATGACGCGCAGGGCCCTCTGCGTTAGACTGGTCTCATCTTCATGTACCTTTCCAGTGGTACAAGAGCCCAATCCATCTGTTGTGTCACAGTCGAGTGTTATGCGTTGAACTGTCCCCAAAAAGATATGCTGAAGTCCTGACCCCCAGGACCGAAGACAGTGACCTTACTTGGAAATAAGGTCTTTGCAGAGGTGGTCACTTTAAGATAGGGTCTGGAGGGTGGGCCCTGATTCAATGTGAGTGGTGTCCCTCTAAGGACACCCCCATACAAAGAGACACACAGAGAATGCTACAGCCATGGAGGCAGAGATTGAAACGATGTGGGTCCAGCTGGGAAACATTCAGGAGGACTGGCACCACCGCAAGCCAGGAAGAGGTCAGGAAGGATTCTACCAGAGTCGCAGAGGGGACACGACTTGGCTGACACCTTGACTTTGGATCTCTAGCCTCTGAAACTGAGAGAACAAACATTTGTTGTTTTGAGCCGTCCGGTTGTGATACTGTTATGGTAGCCGCAGGGAATGAACGCACCCAGATCCGTCTATCACGTAATTCTGACTCCGCACAAGAGGTATGTGGTAGGAAGGGAGAGTTATAAAATGCCTAAAGACACAGTACTCCCCCTCATCTGCGGTTTCGCTTTCCATGGGTCTAGCTGTCCACAGTCAATGTGGTCTGGGAGCAGATGATCCTCCCGGCACGGTGTCAGAAGGTCAACAGCAGCCTAAAGCTATGTCACGATGTCTACGTCACCCCCTTCATCTCATCGTGTAGCCATGTTATCATCTCCCATCAGCACATGAAGGGGGGGGGAGTGCAGTACAATAAGGTATTTAGAGAGCGGGAGAGAGAAAGACCACATTCATAGAACTCTGATGACAGCGTCTTGTTATAATTGTCCTACTTTACTGGTACTTATTATTGTTAATCTCTTACTGTGCCTAATTTGTAAATTACACTTCATCATGCGCGTGCACGTATAGGAAAAAACATAGCACACGCAAGTATTTAGTGCTGTCTGTGGTTTTAGGCGTATGCTGAGGGGCAGTGAGGGTTTGTGTGTCTTAGAATGAATCCACATGGACAGGGAGGGACACTATATTCGTTTTTTTTTTTTTTAATTTTGTTCATTTTTGAAAGACAGAGAGAGACACAGCATGAGCAGGGAAGGGGCAGAGAGAAGGAGACACAGAATCTGAAACAGGTTGCAGGCTCCAAACTGTCAGCATAGAGCCCGATGCGGGGCTCGAACTCATGAACTGCCAGATCATGACCTGAGCCGAAGCTGGACGCTCAACCGACTGAGCCACCCAGGCGCCCCGACACTATATTAGTTTTAATTCTGGAGACAGAATAATGAGTTCACAGGGTTCCTTTTTTTTAATGGCAAGAGATGCCTTCAAGCAATCTATATTCAGAAGTGACATGATTTGACTTTCACTGGACGGGAGCCCATCTCACTGCATATCCACATCGAGGAGTGACCCAAGTCACGGGCTCTTATTCAGTAGGAATTCATAGTAACCAAGTCAGGAAATTACTTACCAGCCCATGTTTTGTAGTAAATATTAGAAAAACAAGACAAAATAAAACTAAAACATATTTGGGGCAAGAAAGAAAGACACGGGAGGAAGCCCAGGAGCCTACCTGCACTGGGTCCTGTGGAAGTCTGGTTCATTTAGAACAAGCCTTTAACTTGCTCTGTTTCTGTATCAAGATCTATATCGTAGAAGCAGGGCCGGGTCGGCAGTCCTGGCATGGTGCTCATCTAGAGGAGAAAACGGAATATTGTATGTTAGCAAATGCCGCAAAATGATCACTCTGAACAGTGTACAATCTAATGACATAAATTAACTACATAATTCAATTCAGGCTCCTGTATTAGGTCACCTGTATCTCTTTAGATTCGCCATCTGCTATTTCATTCTTGGTTTAGGAAATGAAATAGAAAAGGCAGATGTCAACTTCCTGAACGTGGGGACCACTTACCTCCCCCCACGGCCCCACGGCACATCGTAGCTCCAAGATTCTCAAATCACATCTTTAATTAAGTCCCCCACCACCCTTAGAGGGAGGTACTAATTTCAGCCTCAATTTATTGATGGGACAGGGGACATTCAGGCACAAGCCATGTGCTCAAGGACATGGACAAGGACGAGCAAGTTAGTGGTGGGGACAGATTGGACCCAGGCCCGTGCTCCTTGCTGCTTTGCTGCGGTGTGTCCAGAACAGTCTATCAGAGTGCGTCTGAGTCCACTTGCACCGGAAACCCTTGGTATCCTGGAGGAAAGTGCTGTGATTGCTGGCGACTCACGCACTAAAACACGGTCAAGGACCTAGATGGTGAGGCTCCGGGATGATCTGCTCCTTAATGATTGCCGTATTTCCTGCCGGGCTTTATTACTGTACTTTTCATAAAAAGGATGCTCAGAAACCAACGTTGCATGCGATCGTTTGGAGCAAAGACACCGGGACCCCACTTGGCTTCACTCTTCTGAGGACTAAGGGCTGTGTCTTGCAAAGCTCCTGCCTGCTCTGGCCGGAGAACATTCCAGTGAGATGACGTGTGACACGGCCAGGACTGCGTCCAGGGTTCGCCCACTTCTTCCCACCTGTGACAGAGCTCAGCTCTCTCACTTGCCTCGTCCCTTCTGCAACGACTCAGGATGTTCCCCTCCGC